GCCAACAAGGCATGGGAATATGGATTGCAAGTGTGTACATCCTCACTGCAGATGCACTGAAACAAGGGGATTTTTGGTACTGTACTATCTACAATGACCAGTTCAGCTGTGACGTGGAAAATGGAAATCAAAGTGAAACTTGGATAGGGATATGTCAAGTCAAATATGTGCCTGCAGTCATCACACACAGAATATCACTGGAGGTTAATTCGCAGGCCTGCTGATCTTTTGGGGGAGGGGGGGTGCTCATCCATGTAGCTCGAGGCGGTGAATTTCAATATGAAGCATGAAATGTGGAGTAGTCACTGTAATTGGATTGAAATCCATAGTGGATCCTTTACCAACAGAAAGTATAAAGCACGCACCAAGGCCACAATCAAGTAGTTGATATCAAGTACAATTTAGTTTGTGCTCCTCTGTTCTGAAGTTTTAGTTTCTGCTCTAATTAGCCCTCAAACAGGTGCTTCAAACATTGATTTTTCATTTTAGTTACAGAGACGTGTCTGTCTTAAAGCTATTTTTGTGGAAAAGTGCACAGGCTTTCAAGATGTTATACCTTGCAAGCCATCTGAAGTTAACATGGCAAAGTTTCAACCTGTAGATGGTGCTCTCATCCCTGGTTTTAATCCAAACCTCCAGGGTCATCTCCTCATTTTCAAATGACTAGCCTCTATTCCAAAGCCTGTTTTGCTTTGTTATTATTATGATTCTATTCCAGTTATTTTGTTAACAGTGGAGAGATTTTGTACACGTCACTCACACTGTTCATATTTTGTTGACAGATATTCTTGTGTGCAGCAGACCTGTTCATACACAAAGCTTATTCAGGAAAGTCCTTATGCATAATGATGTGCAGCAACTGTTGTTCCAATCGTTCTCAGGCAGCGAGCATTGGTTGACAGTGGGGAATGGTTGGATTTGAGTGGGGGGGGAAGAGGAACCTCAGCCAAACATGATTTGTCTCGGAATACTCATGCCGCTTTTGATCTGTCTTGGCTTTTAGGAGATTTCAACAACAAAATCTGTCTTTCCAAATTCCTTAATAGACTCAGCCTTTTGTGGCCAACATGAAGAAATCCTAGGAACATGTTTACATGGCATCCATAATAATGCTCCGGATTTGTTTATAACATGCAGAGTCCACTGAGATCTAATTACAGAGAAACCCATTAGTATTCAAGCTTGGCCCTAATAGACTAATTAATTTATCATAAAAAGTAAGGCATTTTTATGACTTTCTTATGTTGTGCATTTATTTCCATAATTGATCTTTGTTTTACAAATATATCTTTTTAAGTTACTCCTCACATGGCCTACATACAGCAGGTTTGGGGAAAAAAAAAGAAAAACCCATTTGGAAGGAGAAACAAAAACTCTACCAGACCTAATAACATCAAGGTTACAAGTTGCTATATGATTTATAAGCCTCCAAAAGCTATTTGGGGGTATATTGCGACAGAATGTTAAGTGTGATTAGGGGCAGTATGTTAAACATTTGGCCAGTTGCAGTAGGAGAGCTGTGAGGATGAGCTGTGGTTATCTGTGCCTGTGACGCCACAGGAGGTGCCAAAAGCAACAGAGACCACTAGCCAGTCTGAGTATTTGGCACCTACACAGCTGCTGCTTCCCTCCTCTAGTCTCACCAAGGGCCAGTACCAAGCACAAGATAATCTTGTTTTATCTGCCTTTCAGACAGACCAAATGGCTGAGATTAAACCCTCCACATGACCCTCACGGCCAGAGCAGTGAGATGTATACCCCCAGTTTATTAGAGCACCTAAGGTTAAAGTGAGATGATGAAACTGATAAGGGGTTGGCTTGAGAATGGCTGGATACATTTTCTAGCCTGCAAGAAGTCTGTGTCTATCTAAATTTAATAAAGTCATATAGATCGTGAATTCAGGTGTGCTTTTTTTTCTAGGTTGTATTTTAAAAGAACCTATTTAGGTATTTAGCAGCAGGCTAAATGTTTTAATAGCCGGGGACCGGAGTGTGTCTAGGTGGTTACTACATACCAAAGAACAGAGAACATTACTATTATTAAATTTCACTCAAGATGGATTATTTATCAGTATTATTAGAAGATATGTTGTGATAATTTTAAGATTCCATTACAGATTTTAAAAGCAGGTATGAAAACTTTTTTTTAATTGAATGATTTGAGATACATACATATCTGTATTTCCGTGCTTTATACTCTTTGTGTAGTAACTGTGTATATTTTTACAAGTGTGTGGTAGCTATAGTTTTATGGCAGAATAAATCCAGTCAAACTGAAACGCAAAAATGAAACTTTGGATTTCCCGTCAGCTGTTGACTGCTTTAACTGTATATTTTGACAATATTTAAACAAATCCATGCAGAGTTAAATCAGTGACACTGCCAAAATTAGCAATCTTATGAAACATTTTAAAATTATTATTTTAAAGTGTCTCAAAGTATTTTACTGAAAACCAGGAACCTGGAAATTATAAAAACATAGAGATAGATAGATAGATAGATAGATAGATAGATAGATAGATAGATAGATAGATAGATAGATAGATAATCTTCTAACTGTGGGTGACATGTAGCTGTTATACAAAAGGTGGACTTTTGACACATTTGTTCCCTGGATTGTTGCTTCCAGTGTCACCAAATGCTTGTCCTGTCTTCCTACCTGGTGGTGTGTGTGGTAGAGAAGGCACAATCTTCAGTTGAACCTCCAAATGATGTCAAAGGCTGGTTGACATGAGACTCATTTCTGACCATCATTGTGATTACTGCAGTGTTGACTGCCAAAACAAGATTAACAATATTCTTACCATTAATTAAAATCACCTCAGTGAGAGAACAGATGGCCAAAGCTATTAATCTGCTGTAATGCTATTACTGTCACCACACACGTCTTAATCAAACCGTGATCTGCATTAATCACCTGCCTTAAGTGACAAACAAGTATCACTCCTGTGTTAGCCAGGCTTTGCTTGTGGCGAGACCTCTGGTGACCTTGTAGTGATATATTGATTCCAAAAATAGTTTGAACATAAAGAGGTGATGTTTTATATTGAGGCAGCTAGCTCAAACACAATGTAGGTTACATGACTGCAATAGTAAATGAACAATTCATCACTATCTTTTCAGCTGCTGTTTTAATCAGTTTGTTTGTGTTTTAATTTTAGACTGAAATATTTGCATCTACCGCTGCTCAGCTGTTACCATGAAACCACTGCAACATAAAGTGGTAAATGCATGATTAAAGCATAATCCTCTTAGTGGCAAACAACTAATTTGGCTAATTCTGTATTACCTTCTGACTCCTCACAGCCAAAAAAAATCCTGGATTTTAACACTCAGCTAGCTTAGGACTGTTGCTGTGAAGACTTTGTGCATTTGGTAATGGCAGTAAAGTATCTTATGTTTGATTCCCCTCTGGCTCAGCTCATGTGATCTTGTTTTTAATAAAGGTTGAAAATGGAGATAGAGAGCTAATAAAAATACGCAAGAAATAGGCAATGTTTTGGGATTTTGGTGATCACAGGTGCAGCGTACTGCTTGCTGCGTGCAAGCCAGGCAAATTTGCTAATGTGATAAGAGGTGGCCTGAGCACGTGTTATCATTATCCTTGTTTCTGGATCAAATTGAGCACCAAAATGGCAAAATTACCTAATCAGCATGCACATGGCCTTAACTGCGCCTCTCCTCCTACTTCAGCGTAAGAACATTCATTCATGGCAGGAAAATACCAAATACACCAATGCACAAAAAAAGTACATATGTGCACAAAGAAAACTGCATAATGACTGCGAACGAGGCAATGCAGAAATTGCGCCAGCAGGAAAATAGAGCCCTTGGTGTTGACTACTAAAAGTGATGATGCATCGCCGTTGCGGTTTTAAAACAATTTAATAGGACTAGCCTACATTTCTTCAGAGGGAGCTGAGTTGAGTCTACCTGCTGAAAGCCTGAAGGATTGATTGAACTATTTAGTCTTTCAAGTTGCAGTCTTTCAATCATGCAGAAGCAGATGGTGCACAGCCTCAGACACTACAGTTGGCTCTATAGATACCAACATTTTTGTTTTCTGTGCTCTTGCCCTTGTCAAAATACAAGGTATAAAAGCAGAGATGAAATAAGTAATGACATTTTTCAAGTAACACATTACAAGGCCTGCAATAAACATTTTATTCAAGTATCATCATCAGCATTTTAATGAAGATAATTTGAACAATTTTATATTTGCTGAACCTTTAAATCAACAGATGTTATGATTATCATATGTTTTGCATGTAAAAACATAAGCTGTAGTGCAGTAAAAGGAACTATATTTCCCTCTGGTTACCTCTGAAATGTAGTATAGTAGAGTACCTAAAAACTATGCTTCAGCACTTATGCTAATGTAGTTGCTTTCCAGCACTGGGTAAATGCAACCGTAGATACAAAATAGGACACTGGAGAAAACATTTAATAATGGAGGATGATGACTTTTATTGTTATTCATGTGTGCTTATATATTATAATCACACAGTGCTTGTTCTGACATTTAGACTGAAAAACATAAAAGTATCACTGTTTATTTTATCATACTTTTTTCTCTCAATTCATGCCTATTCATAATTTTTCATCTGTTCAAACAGCAGAGGAGGAATTTTAATGTAACGCAGTTAAGAAAACCCACAAAGCCAAACAAGTGTCATTTGATTACTGTTGTGTTTTGGACACCCACAATGTTAATTACACATAGAATAACACTGCGACTTAGTGTTAAAGGAAAAAGCCTGTCTGCATAATCAAGACAATCTGATTGTAATTAACACTCAATTGTACTTAATTTACCCTTTTCAGCAATAGTTTTAAAATAAGAGCCATTGAAATCGGAAGAAAAATGAAGTTAGGAGAATAAACTATAGTCACTGATCCCTCCTCACTCTTCTCTCTCTCTCTCTCTCATACACACACACACACACACACACACACACACACACACACATACACGTACACATTAGCAACTGCTCTCATAGTGATAACAAAAAGCATGAGTCAACCAGACCTTTGTCAACCATATGGGTGATTAGCTTTTACTGATTAAAAGGCGTCTGTAGCCCATCAAAAGGCTCTTGACACCTCACAAGAGTTTGGGTTAAATTTGTCTGACAACTCCCCACTACCACCCACAGCCCACCCCCACCTCAAAGGGCACATACAGGAAGGTGTTAAAAAGCACACAGTAAAGACCCACAGACACCTCAGATACTTGTGATACTGTGTCAGCATGAGTTCATAAGGAGCTCTCTGCTGCCATATTAAAAGTTATACAAGCCTGATTTTGCTTATATAACAGTGGGATAGCTGATTTTCTCTTGGTGCCTGGTGTTCCTGGCAAGCAAACCAGGCAGTGTTAACAAAACACAATGGTGTACTGTTTAAACTCTTTGTAGAAGAGTAAGGCAGTTTATTATGCATGTTGATGAAAGCTGCAGTATTTGCATATTGAACTTGGAACATACTTCAGTCACATTGCTTTACAGCAGAAGTGAATGCTTAGAGTGTGTTCTCAAATCCTCAAGACACCAAGTCAAGCGCTTTCTCCCTGTGCTGTTATTCTACAAATCACTACATTCAATGGTATTTTATACTATATGTTATGGTAAGCCAGTATAAAACTTAAAAACAGTTAGTTAATTAAGCAACGTGGTCATCAACATAATTAAAGCTCCAAAATCAATTTATCTAATGAACCATTTGCACCTAAAACAGTAAACGGCAGTTTGGCGGAGGAGCCAAACGTTTTCCTTTTGGTGGACCACTGGAAGGCCATTGGTCGATGGGACAGGCTATTTGCATATACCGGTGCTTATAGTCCCACAGCAAAGTCAGAGTTCATCACAGCTGTGTTTCGATCTGACAGAGATCATATGCGGATTGTTCGCGCCATTTATGAGCTTTTTGGACATTTTTTAACCCCATCACCATGAGTTTGTTCAAGCTTGCAGGAGTTGGACTGTGCATGCTGCTTGCTTTTTTCCCATACACTGCTCAGTGTACAACTACGAGGTATTTTACCTATGAAGAGGATGCACCTGGGACAGAAATTGGAAATTTGTCTCGAGATTTGAAGATTGATCCAGCGGATGACCCTGACACGTCGTTCCGCTTTATGCAGGAAAACAACTCCTCTGTGATTCATATGAGAGAAACAGACGGACTTCTGACTGTTGCAGAAATAATCGATCGAGAGCAGCTCTGCCCCAGGTCTCCCCGTTGTTTCATCACCTTCGACACTGTGGCCTTCTCCAAAGAAAAGTTTCAACTCATCCACGTGGAGATCGAGGTAAAAGATATCAACGACCATTCTCCTTACTTTCTGCGCAATGAGACAGATCTAGAGATAGTGGAAAGTGTTCCACTCCAATCGCGATTCCCACTACAGATTGCTCTTGACCAGGATGTGGGTGAAAACTACATTCAGAGCTATAACATTTCTCCCTCCAATCATTTTGCTATTGAAGTGCGCGACAGAGAGGATGGAGTGAAATTTGCTGAGCTGGTGCTGGTGAGGGAGCTCGACAGGGAAGTGGAGGACGCCTACGCAATCGAAGTTACTGCATCTGATGGAGGAATGCCTGCAAAGTCCGGGTCTATGACTGTAAATATCAAAGTCCTAGACTCTAATGACAACAGTCCGACGTTTGAACACAACTCTCTGAAAGTTGAGCTGAACGAAGACTCACCTGTAGGTCACCGAGTTATCAGAGTCCACGCGTTTGACCCCGACGACGGCATTAACGGCGAGGTAATGTACGCGTTTGCCGACGGGTTATCAACAGAAGCTGCGAGCCTGTTCCACATCGACCCATATTCCGGGGATGTGACCTTGAAAGCGCAGGTTGATTTTGAGAAAAGGAGGTCGTACGAGCTCCACATCAAAGCATCTGATTTAGGAGCGAACTCTGTGCCATCCAGCTGCAAGGTTGTGATAGATGTCGTAGATGTGAATGACAATGCACCCGAAATCAGCATCAAACCGATGACCCCCAGCAGTGACGGAATCGCCTACATCACAGAAGCGGCAGCTGCAGAGAGTTTCGTGGCTCTGATCAGCACCACGGACAGAGACTCTGGCTCCAACGGGTACGTGCGCATCAGCCTGCTCGGGCACGAGCATTTCACCCTCCAACAGGCATATGGGGACACTTTCATGATTATCACCACCTCCACTTTAGACAGAGAGAAGATCCCAGAGTATAACCTCACTGTGGTTGCAGAAGACCTGGGAAGCCCACCTTTTAAAACTGTCAGACACTATACTATCCGTGTAATAGATGAGAATGACAACCCTCCTCACTTTAGTAAGTCACTTTATGAAGTTTCAGTTCTGGAAAATAATATCCCAGGTTCATATGTAACCACTGTTGTTGCTCGAGATCCTGATGTGGGAAAGAACGCCCAAGTGTCATACAAACTCATAGATGCAGAGGTGCCAGGAGGATCGCCTGTGTCCACTTATGTCTCTGTTGATTCTCGCTCAGGGTCTTTGTATACATCAAGGTCTTTTGATTATGAGACTCTTCAGCAGATTGAACTGGTCATCCAAGCAGAAGACAGAGGCTCCCCCTCTCTTTCAAGCACATCTATAATCAGGATTAAGGTGGTGGACCAGAATGACAACTATCCATACTTCATCTTTCCTGTCCTCATGAATGGCACTGCTGATATTTCGTTGCCTTTTAATGCACCTGCTGGCTATCTTGCCCTTTGTGTCTCAGCTGAAGATGAGGACGAGGGCATGAATGGTGAGCTCTCCTATGAAATTGTACAAGGTGACCCAAAGCTTTTTACAATGAACAAAGACACTGGAGAGATTGCCCTAAAACAATGGCTGACAGCAGAAATTGGAGATGTGCTGGAAATTAAAATAGCCGTGAGTGACAATGGCAGGTCCCAGCTCTCTAGCAGTGCCACTGTTAGATTTGTTGTCTCCGACACAGGGCCCTCCGAAGACCAAGTTGTCATTGTGTTGCGGTCAAACAATGAAGAAGGCTACAGCTTGGATGGCTCACTAATTACCATTATTATGCTCAGTGGGGGTTGTGTATTGTTGCTGATTGCAATAGTGGTTGTTGTCACATGCAAACTCAGCCGTGGGGGAAGAAGACATGGCACCAAGAGAGATGTGTGTCACAGCCTGTTTGATGCCAGGCCTGTGCCCATGCTGGGCTCCACTGAACCAAACATATACACGGGTCAAGGAGGCTTCTTCGATGAGAGGACCTCTTCATCACTGGATGACTCCTGCCTTTATGAGGAAAGGAGTGGGGACTCAGAGACAAAGGTGAGTCAGAAGTGTTTTCTTTTAATCTTTTATTTTCACATGCATGTGATGTTTCCAAGAGCTGCCTTGATCTTTGTGCCAGAAATGGAAACTAATCTCCCTGCTGTCGTTTTATTTGTTCTCTTAGACGTTTCTGGCCTCCAAGCATTTCCAACCAACTTCTGTGTGGCAAGGTGACAAATACTGCTTGCAAGTGAGGTAAGACTCTTTTTTTTCTCAGATAGAATATGCATTATTCACAAACAGATCTTAGTTAACAGAGATGTATCATACATACATTTTGATGCTTGTAGCATCACTGTGGAATGGGGTTAGATGGGCAGGTTAGCAACAGGCTTTGAATGTGAGAAAGGACCTCAATAATAAAGCTAATGTGGTGCACCAGTGGCTTATACTGTATGTGTTGATTGTATTTGCAGTGGCATTGGCAACACCGACCAGCTGAGCGTGAAGGACAGTGGCAAAGGGGACAGCGACTTCAACGACAGTGACTCTGATATCAGTGGCGATGGAGGCAAGAAGAATTTCAGCACCTTCCACCCGAGTATAAAAAGTGAGTTTTGACGTTACGACACCAGAAACTGCTGAGTTAAGCATAAATATTCACTAGAATGAATAAATGATAAATGGTGGTATCAAGAATTTCTTATCCTTATTTTTATTTCTGTGTATTTCACGTTTATGTCAGGTTCATCCGGCATTGGAAACAGCTTATCCGGGGATTGCCAAGGCACCTACTGTGTAATACCAGCACAGACCTTCAAAGCCCCTAGAGAGAGCGCATACACAACAGGCTTCTCATCTGCACCCGTCTTCAACAGCCCTGATGGTTATCCTCACTCCTGGAAAGACTCTGACTATGGCACAAATCAGTCAGAATCAAGGAGCAGCATGCAGACCTTCTCCAGGACTGGGACCCTCCCTTCCTATTTCCCACAGTACCGGCGTGAGGCTGCTGTTGGTGCTGAAATTCACAAGCAGAGTCTAAATATTGTAACTGTGGCTACAGCATCAGAGGTTGCAACTATCTTTTGATTATGTGATTGAGATGTTTTGATTGTAGATGTAAGTTATTGATACTCATTATTTAGTTAACAGGTGTACATATTTTTGATGAACATTATTGTTTATTCTAGTTAAGTTATTTAAGTTTTGGTATATTGTATTTTATGGTGCACCCTGGTGTTTCTTTTCTCAGTAAAAGTGTGATTGAAACCCTGAAAAATGACATGTATTCAACAGTTTTCGTTTCAAACAGGAGGATGTAAATAAAAGAATGAGATGACAATGAATCATTAAAATTGAGAAATATGATTTTTGAAGATGAAATATTATCCCCTTGTCACAACAAACCGTCGTCTGAATTAGTAAACATGTAGAACTCTTCCCCCCCAGCTTGAATATACATGATCAAGACTCCAGTGAGTGATGATCAGATGTAAAACCTCAAGCTGCTGCATTACCTGGGAGACTAACTTTGAACGCTCCTAGGTTGCTCTGCTGAGTTTCTTGCATGCCAATGAAAGAATAGAGGTAGTACTCAAGTGGAAAATAAAGTATAAGCCGTTGTTCCTGCTAAATCTTGCAGGGTGCTGTCACACCTGCTTCAGCTCTTCTAAATAATTTACATAACTGTACTCACAGTATACTATGCATTTGGTTTTTTGACAAATGCCTGTCATATGTTACTGTGAAGGGCAAATGTTCAGCTTTTGTTTAAAAAGAGCCTTAGCACCTGAAAATGGAACAAAATATACATCCAGTTTTCTTATTCATTCATCCTCTGAAAAGTATCAATGCCTTACTGTCATATTTGCAGAACTGGTCACTGTCATTAAATAATTCAGCCTTGGATATGTAGGGTAAGTGCACTCTTGTCCTAAAGATTTATTGATGAGTTTTAAAACTACTGTATAACTAGAACTGTCAAATATCAGTCTGAATATTGGTTATTAGGTGATCCTTTATATGTAGTGTGGCATACTTCTCCTAAAATAGAGCAGCAACAGGACCATATGAAAGTAAATCCAGGGCAGTTGCAAGAAACCAGAAAGTCTGGAAATAGATAAAATCGAATAAGTCCATCTCTTAGTCCAGGGAGCGTGTCCATGGGGAAGTGCATGAGTTTGCATTAACAACTTCAAATGTACAAGCCTGTTTTAATACCACAGTTCAGAATTTGCTATCACATTGAGAAACTAATTGAAAATATGTATTTTAAGAAAAGTTCAACACCTGGTGGCTTTCATCCGCTCATGTACAAGTTTGTCATAGTGTTCTGTCCTCATTATTTTTAAGGTCACTTTAGTGTCTGTGAAGTGTGAAACCAAATGAGACAAGAGTAAAAGGTTGTTCCAAATTACATAATAACCATCAAAGGGCCAGCCCTGAAAGGAAAATACCTAGTTTCTAAATCTGATGCCAAGTAAGAGCTATCAGTGGAAGCTGATGGCAGCATGAACCATATTTTTTTGTTTTCTGTTCATTGAGGGGAAAAGGGGGCTAAGAGCTCTGCTCATTTGCATAAGCATAAATACCTGCTTTTGTGCTTTCAGATAGCTGTGATAAAAGCTGGAATAGAGTGGATTAGATGCCTTTTACAGAACTAAAAAGCACTAAACAGTGTTCTCCACAATATGCCTCGTGAATAGAGGACAATCTTCAAAACTAATTTCATATTTAAGCTGACTTAACAACCTTTTTTAATACTTCATTTCTGCAAAGTCGCCAGAGTTTGGAAATTGCAAAGTTATTAACTTTATTTTAGGCACAGAGTCCACTGAGGATTCAAGGCCATGTGGTGTAAAAGGCAAGCAATAAGAAAGAAGGTCATATTTGTGCCCCGAGTGATGTGCACTGTTCTGACAGATAGCCAATTGTACACAGAGGGGAAAATGCATTTATCAATCAATACAATATGGTTTTCTTTGTCATTGTTTTATTTGGTCCTGGTAGGTCAAATTGTTGTGCACTGACCTGACAGTTTGTGCCACAAGGTATGTTCATGTGCACAGTTTGATATGAAATATTTGAAAAGCCATTGCCAGGCAGACACTGGGTTCATTCATATCCATATGGACATCACATTAATGTCCTGCAGCAGCTACACTAGCACATTTGAAGTCTCTCCGTGTAACAGTAAGTGAGTGTTTTAGAGCTGGTGTTCAGCTCATTGGTAGTCTACTGACAAATGAGTCACTCCTGCACGTCAGTTTCAGCCTCCGCACCTGTTGGTGTTCAGCTTATTTTTGGCAAAAGGCTAACTGTATAACTATGATTATGTTGTTATAGCCTCTTACCACATCAAGATTAAGACACACGTCCTCACTGTACTCAGCATGTAAAGATGGAGTCTCTCTGAGCCAATGTCATTTGGTACTTTAGGCCTGTCCCTCAACAATCTGCTTTGTTCTACTTGTACCTTCATCTTCATTTTTATCTCAGCTGCCAAGTGATTCTGATTCTGAAGTGTAGATATTGACTGGTTGATGTTTTGAATTGTGGGACTGGTGGGAGAATAACAGCATGTGTTTTACACCTGACAGTTTGTCTAAAAGGAGAAGTTGTGTCTATGTTTTCTTACCCCAACACATGTATGCAGTTGCAACAATGATACAAGATTTGTTTTGTGAAATTCCCCATTTCCTGTCTTTATGCTAAGCTAAGCTAGGCTAACCAGTTGCTAGCTCCACCTTCATATAGTAATGTGAATATACTATGAACTATTATTATAAAAATTCAACATGCTTTGCTCAGCTTTTATCACTCACATGAATCATTGTCATTATTCACATCTTCATATTCTAATCTGAACAACAAACACTGTTTCCCTCCATGCCAAATTATGCCATATGCTTGCACCTGTGATAGTATAAAGCCATCCAAATGGGAATCAGGTCCAGGATTTGGATCACAACACCACCGAGCATGCCTACTATATTAGACATGTCACACAAGACGTTCGGCATATTAAAGACATAGTTGTAAATTATTTTGAAGGCTTCAAATTTCTGATTAGAGCCGTAATGTTTATAAATGCTACATTAGAACAAAGTTAGATGAGAATAAACACTGAAAAATGGTTCAGGCATATATATATATATATATATATATTTATGACCAAATAAGTTGTGACTTCTGTCTTGTGTTTTTTATGAAATCATGGAGAGAGATGTTACTGATGATGAAGACTTCTGCCATGATGGTAGGTATGTGGAACCAGAATGCAACTGACTGATGAGTGATATTGACGAACTGCAGTTATGTTGTTATCAAAACAGTGTAATGTATTTCTGCAACATTATAATGTTATGAGTGCATAACCTGGAGGTGATCTTTACAAGATTGAACATATTGTAGTTATGTCTGTCCACTAAATGCAATTTTAGCTATAAAGAGACATTTTAAATAAATGTAAAACATAAAACAACAAAAGGTTTCATTTAAATAATCTTTATCCTCTTTGTTAAACGCACACAACACACACACAGTAGGTCTCCGGGCATACCAGGATATGAATGTGATTTAGATCTGTGTGACATTCTCTCTAGACATTTGTGCTTGGCTTTGAATTGAGTAATTTGATTTGATTGATTTTGTATATTTTTTGCTTTTATATGACTTGTTAGATTTCTTTCATATCTCAGCTCTCTACTGCCAGATACAGATAATGAAAAAGGAGACAGAAGTAGTAAGATATTAACACCAGAGATAGTAAAAGAAATTCTGAGGAAATGTTGCCAGATGATATAATGTAGCGATCTTGTAGTCATTTCAGCTCCCCTGTCAATCATTACTGTTGATTAGTTTTTTATATATATAGAATTTAGGTATGTTCCCCTTTAAAATCAATTAAACCTTACTGTGTTTGTTAACATTAATATTTCACGGCAGAACATATAAAATTGTGTTTATGCACAGAGTATTCTGTGGAGTGATCATCACAGGTGAACTAAAAACTGCATAGACCTTCACTGGTTACTTATAAAAAAATACACCGCCTTAGTAATCAGTATGTGCTGTACTGTATATAGCCTATGGCACCATTAAATAACATTACCAGTGTCTATCTGTTCTATTTTGGTACTTATACCACTAGGGGGAAACATAATGCTTTACAACCTCAAAAAAATTACAGGCTCCCCAAAACATCATTTACACTTATGAGCCACATTTGTATATACAGCACAGCAAGCTGGCTTGGATGTGATATGAACGATATGATTCAACAAACTAAACAGTGTATTCAATTTATGACTGTTGTGACTGGTTCATTAAAACTGGAAAATCTTTATTTGCTAAAGCAGGGAGGTGTAATTCATGAGGTCTTGCTGTGCTATTACAAAACATCAGTTCTACTGAGTGTCAGTGGAAGCCTGTGTTCAACAATAACACCAGGTAATGTAGGGATAATGTGCCACTACTTTTTCATTACCGCTGCTGTTTCAGCTGTGTTCCCTCTTTGTAGATTGTGTTTTCAGTGAAAGATTCGCCAGACAGCATGTTTACAACATCCTGTTTGCAACATTTCATTAAGAGCTAAAAGTGATTTAAATATTTGATGGTTACGTCATCTAGAGGGTTAATGATATGGTGCATTCAAGCCTGGTAAACAAACAAAATATGAGGTGTTGATGCATTCACGAGTACATCAGTGGCACAGATTCCATATTCTACTCTTTATTTTAAACGGAGCCAAAAGCCCGACCCACGAAACAAATTAATATTCTATTCATTTTCATTTTATTGTAAATTGTGATTCCATACAAATGTCTTTGAATAACTAATTCACATTCCTATTGAGCATATTTACAATGTTGTGCAACAAAAAGCTCAATTTCCCAACATTTCTGGGTTTGTACAGGATGAGCTGTTATTATGTATCTTTATAAATAGCTAATATGATTGCATGCACGACTGAACGAAGAATTCTGAACAGTGACAGAAAAGGCAAGGAAAATACAACAACGGACACAAACGATCTCCCTTTAAGCCCCTTTGTAATATGGTGTTACTATCAACCAGTCTGAAAACAGAATGCATTATCTCATCAGGGTGACAACCATGGGAATATTAATTTAGTTTATCGCTGAATAAATGCACACATGGGGTCACATGGCTGTTTTACCACTTTAGTAAAACACTGGTTGGCCTTTGTCTCAAACAGCAATGGCGCTGCTTTGGTCTGGAGATGATGATGACAAATCTGCACCAGTTGTTCACCAGTTGATTGTGGTTTACCACTGTG